TGGTTTGATTTGGAAATGATATCACTGAGAGTAAAGGGTCTATTTTTATAGCTGCTATACTGATACTAGTAGTGTGGCAGGCGTAAACCAGCACCGATTTGCTCTTTCATGATCCATTTAGCCGTAATCGTCTGTTTTTTATTTCAATATTGTATTAAACCGGCCTGAACGTAAGTTTAAAGCTTTGATCAAATAGGTGCCATAAAATACATGCAAATCGTCACCTTGTTCTTTCTTGCGATCTGCCACGCCTCCTTGGTGATCGTGACAGGTGTTGAGAACTGAAAGAGATGTGCCAACAAAAATGTAAATGAGAAATCAATTGTTCAATATTGCTTTGAGGAACTTCATATGTTTAAATCAAACCAGTAAACCGATCGGTGTATCAAGTTAAAATCATAGTATAGAAGCAAAGATAAATCAGGAAAAAGTTACGCAATCGACTGGCAAAGGAGGATCTGCAATTGAATACCGCCACTAGAATCTGAGACTGGAAGGCACCGAAAGGTCATAAAAACCATCAAAGACATCAAAGATTTGACGAAGATTGCAAGTTTCGAGCGCGTGATCTCTATCGCTTCTTTACGCGATTCGTTTTTGGTATAATTCTTTATTCTCGATTAAACCCAAGTTATTCATTATTCATTTTCTTTTTAAGCCGTTATTCCTTATTCATTTCCTTTTTCAAGCCGTTATTCATTATTCATTATTCCGCTTCCACCCCTGATTATATCGCCGGATCTACACAATTTGCTGATTCAAACTGTAAAATGCTCTCTCTTCAAAGAAAAAAATTTTCCACAAAGTTTAATGAAGTACCGATCACACCTATTAAGATTTTTCTGCAAGAACAATTTCTGTTTTAAATCACGTACAATCCTGAAATGCTTGTACGATGTTTATCGCTTTCTGCTATCTTCCATAGTGTCACGGAAAGAACTGAAAACATAATGTACTTGTGGCTATAATCCAGAAATCACAAAAGGAGGGAACTCAACTGTGTCGAGTGCGAATGTCGATAATCTTAAAAAAACAATAAGTAGCACTGGGAAACATCGGGTCAAAATTGAGTCAAGATCAGAATTCTATTGTTACACTCACTCACTCACTCACTCACTCACTCACTCACTTACGCACTTATGCACTACGCACTCACTCACTCACTCACTGATCTCAGCAACATATATAGCTTCGCCTCCTACAGGAGGCAGTGACCTCAAAAAAATTTTGCGAAAATTGACACACCCTTAATTTCAAATTTTCTTTTCTCAGCCTCTTCAGCGCTTCCAAAATCTTGCAGCGACTTGAAGAAGCTCGATCCTAATGCCAAAATTGGACCATGCCTGATTGATCCCGATGGCGATGGAGGATTTTCGGCATTTAATGTCACCTGTGACATGAGTGACAAGGACGGTGTTGGCGTGACCGTCATAAGTCACGACAGCGAGAACCGGACACTGGTGGACGGATATACAAAACGGGGATCATATTCACGGGACATACACTACAAAGGAGCAAACATTTCTCAGCTGGTGAGTCTCATCGACATTTCCCAGCACTGTGAGCAGTTCATAAAGTACGAGTGCCTCGGTTCTACTTTGAAAGATGCCTTTTGGGTTTCACGTGATTCTCTGGAAATGACCTACTGGAGCGGTGCAGCAACTGAAAGTAACAAGTGCGCATGCGGAATGAACAACACATGTGCCAAAAAGCCAGACAACCACACGACCTACTGTAACTGTCATGTGAATGACAATGTATGGCGTGAAGATAGTGGTGTCGTTACTAACAGGACTCATCTGCCGGTTAAGCAGCTGAGGTTTGGAGACACAGATATTGACCCTAATGGGGAAGACGAGTTGGGCTACCATACCTTGGGAAAATTCAAGTGTTACGGAATCGCCTGAT